GAGCTCAATTACTTCTCTCTGATTTACCATACTTTTCTTTTTAGTTTCTATCTTAGTTTGCAAATATCCTATAAAGAAATTCTTAATTTATTAAAGGAGTTGTTTTCAAATAAATTAGAAATCTATATTTTCATGGGGTCCTAAGACTCTCTAAATAATCAGTTAATCATTCTTTCCTGGGTTTGTAAGTTCATGTAAAAGTACCTAGAGGAAATAACATTTGCTGAAAATATTTTCACAGCAAAATGTTTGCATGTATAAATACATGCAGAGAGGAACATGGTGTTTATAAATATACAATTAGATTCTTTTCCTGAAAGATCCAGTTTCTGGGGATTCAAGCAGGATATAGCTGAATATTTTAATAATGTTTTGGAGAGCTGGCTCCCTATGCTTACACCTGTAGTTTCTTGCTGGGTAGGTTGTCACATATTTCATCTGTAACAAATTTTCCAAGACTACCATTGTGCACTGTGCACTATTGTCAGATAGCAAAATCTTTCCTTGTGCTTTATCTCATGCTTATCTGTAAGTCATGGCCACACATATCAGCTGCCTATCTGAACTTTCCTAGCTCATACATTGCTTGGTTGTTTGTAGTAATTTTCTCCCATTTGACTCTTTCCTCCTACTCCTCTGCCCCCTAAAAATTTTAAGTATTGTTTCTTTTGAGCAATGAAGTAATCAAAATTGTGTTTCTGGCCTGTCCTCTTACATTTTCTTATTCTTCTGTAATATTACAGTGTCATTAGACTGTGATGACTTTGAGAATTTCACTGATGAGATGTCTAGAAATGCTCAATTTCTGTCTGATTTGAAAGGGAATTCCACTCAGACCTATTCTGTTACAGATTCTGGGTTTAGACAGGACTTCTCAGTGGACTGATCCAAGCCTTGTGTTCAGTGTGACTATACCCTTGGTTTTTGACTTGCATATAGGCTTAGGAAGTGTATTTCTTTTCTGAAAAATAGCTTTGAAGACAGTGAAGCTGACATAAAAATGCATGAGGCTCAACTGGATACCTAGAACTGTACTTATAGTGTTCTACTAGTGCTAGTATGCTATTTTAATGACTTCTAGATCTGTAGGGCCAAGGAGAAGGGATATACTCCAGGATCTATGGCCTCCATCCCATGTGGTCTATACTTGCTCAGTGTGTCAGATGAAATTTGATAACTACATCTAGTAGAACTCTGATGGCTCATCTGTATTAATTTTAACATTTATCTATAGGACATATCAAAATGGTTGGAAACTGTTCAGCAAGATGCTGCTGTGGATATAGGATAGAGAAATGTATGCCTGGTGACCCTCCCATAAAAAGATTTCCTTTAACTGCTGGATTGGAACAATTAAATAAGGTCTTAACTTCATTTCCTCAGAATATATTGTCTTTACAAAGTCCAGTGAAACTGAATGGTTTTTGGTTTGTTGGTCCATGCTTTGGAAGCTGAGGTTTCAAACAGGCATAATGTGGTACTATAAAATGCATGAAAACTTAGATTTGTTTCTCATACATCATGAAGACTAAGAAAAATTTTGCTACTTTATTTCTTTCCCAAGGTTTTCAGTGGCAGTTCTCATATTTATTTTTCCCATACCCTTTTTCTCTCTCTCTTCACTCCAGACCTGGATCTTGTGATTTTTTTTTTGGTGTAGGTAGTTAACATTTTATGTGTTTGAAGCAAAAGAAAAAAAAATCCTATCTAAATAGCCTATACCTAAGATCCAAGTTAAGTGCGTGTCTACCTAATGTGTTCTGAATTTCTTAGAATTTAGGTGAATTCAGTTTATAAAAACATTCTATGTGGTAGTTTAGATTACCATCTCTTAAGAGATTGATGCTGCCTATTTACAAATATTGTCTAGAAGTTTTTGGTGCTAAGAGAGTACAGGCAATTGATAAATAGTAGTTTATAGGATGTAAATGCCAGCAATACTCATTTACTGATGCTTTTTTTTTTCAGTATTGCTTTGTTTTCATTTCTGGTACCTCTGGTTTTCTTCTGAGACGTGACCGTGTCAAAGTGTACCAGAAGGCCTTTACTGAAGGGACTGGTATTCTGAGGGCTGTTTTAATCTTCTACTTTCCTCCCTGCCCTCCTTCACAGTTACCTCTCAATAATTCCCTTTACTTCTTAGCAGGTATTCAAGGACATCTCCATCAGGTTTTTTTCCTACCTGAATTTGGGAAACAATGTAAAAAATGCTGACCATAGCAATAATTACTTTCTTTTTTGGCACAACCCACTCAGCTTCTTTACCTCTTTTGACTGTGTTCTTAAACTCAGGGAACTTATAACTGTAGAAAACTGGTTTGTTTTACTGCACAGAGGAGCATCCTTCTGGTAAGTGGGTGAAAAGGAATCAGTGAGGCAAAGAAAGTGAGAACACCTTGAGAGATCCACCTTGATTATCATGATTATGGAAGCTTGGAAGTGTTTTCAGACATTAGGTAAGTGACGGTAAAGCTGCCTTTTGAACTATGACATAGGAAGGTGAGCTTATATCTCATGATGTAGAAAAATGTGTATGTATGCTTGTATTTAATAGTGTTTAACACATGCACGTATAGCTACAAAGGTGTGTGTGCAAAGATGTATGCACACACACAAGTATTAAATAGTTAATGCTATATTTGCCATGAACCATCTACAGTGTTCTCATGCAACAGAAGTTCTTTTTTTTTTTAATCCTCTCTGTCTGGCTGCATATTTCATCCTGTTAAATGTGCTCACCAGTGGAACCATTCATAAAGTTTAATAACACACTCTACCAGTGATGCACTCTTCAGAACACTGAAATTGATTTTTCTTCTCTAAAAGTGTGACCTGCCAGTGTAGCCTTTGTCCTAAGGCCTAATAATACACGATGTTCCTGACAGCATGGGATGTGAGTGCAGATGTTCTGCAGGCATCTGAAAAAAAGCAGCCTCAGTGCAATCTCTAGTGCTGTCGAAGGCATTTTATTTGCTGCAGATCAATGTCTGCTTTGAAGAGGAATAATTGAGGTGTTTTGTTCCTTCTGAAAAGGGTTCTCAAAATTAGGTTTGTGTCATCCAAGGCTTAATAAGGGACTAGATAGATATTCATGAGGCATCTTGTTAAACTCATGGATGCTTAACACTTTTAAAATTCTGATTATTAAGGTAAGAACCTAACTACAGGTAGCCACTTTAATGATAATGGTAAATATCATTGAAGCTGTTAAAAATACCACAGAGGATCTGAGCACCTGCCTGTCTGTTCTAGAGCACCTTTGCAGGAGTGCTTATCCTGAGATAACTTCTAAGAAAAATGCTGTTCTCTTCACTGCCACATTATACATAAGGCATAGGAAATGATACTGTTCATTCTGCATCATGCAGAGCTGCTTCTGAAATTTTCATCCTAGCAAGGTCACAGAGACATTTCCTTGGACTTTATTTAGTCCTTCAAGGCTGTATGGAGAGATTATTTATTTGTTCTTAATTGTTGTTGTTAGCTTTGCTGTAAGTAAATCAGAATTTGCAGGGTTGGTGCAGAAATTGCCAGGGTCTGTGTGATGGAAATGAATCAATAATTCCTTGTGGTCTTGAACTCTGTCAGTTTAACACTTCTGCAGTGCTGGGCTGCATCTTGTTAGGTAGTTGCACAACCAGTGCTGTTCCTGAGGGTGTGGACCTCTTTCTTTTCCACTTATGCTTTGTATCGCAGTGGCAGTGACAGCAGATATTGCAAAGTACAGTTAAGCATGCTAAATGTATAATCCAGTTGTCTTCTAATGCAAGTTGACAGCTGCTGGCAAAGCAGGATGAAATGGTATTCTTGGAGACTTCTGCTGCAGATCGCTGTCTGAAAAAAATCCCAATCCCTGCAACTCTTTCTCACAGGATTTATTCAGCTTTGTTTGATGTGAGAAGCACCATATTCTATACTGAACTAGCTCTTTGTAGTGCTTGCAAATTCTCTACGATGTTACTTGCTTATTAGCAAAAATTTCTCAACAGCAACAGTATACAACTTATGCAATTCACTATATCTGTACATAATAATATTACAATTTTTATCAAATGCAAAAGTCCATTTTTATATAGCTAATTTAGTAACATATTCCAGCACTACATCTTAAGAGCTGAAGTACATTTGCAATCCAATGTTTTAACTCACTGTCCTGAAAGGAAAAAAAAAAAGTTGGCTCGTGATAAGAACATACCCCACCTTGTATTTTCTTTTTCTGTCTTCAGAGGTGATTTACAGCTGTAAGGAGGTAAATAGTTTATCTCTGGCAGAGGTGAGAAGCCACAGGATCACAGCATGGCTGAGGCTAGAAGATGCCTCTGGGGACTGTTCAGTCCCATGTCCCTGCTCACAGCAGATTGCCCAGGAGGAGCCTGGTCAGGATTTAAACATCTCAGAGGATGGAGGTTCCAGGGAATATGTAATATCTTGTTTATAGTTTTGCTCTGATGTATTAACTGTATGGCAATTTACTAGCCCAAAAGGTGTATTTAGGCTTAGGCAAGACTGGCTGCCCATGTCTTGTATACACTACTAGATCTATTTGTGAATTTTCCAGCATTTTGAAACTTTGAAGTATTGTTTCGTGATAGCAGTGTTGTTTATTAGGGGATATGGCATAATCTGGGATTTGGGTTCATGTGTTTCTGGACCAGTTGTCTGTCCTTATGAAAGTTTTATGTTTTCTTTGTCAGTTCTCTCCAATGATTTCTTTTCTGTTTAGTTTTCAGTGTTTCTGGTGCGTGGATAGGTGTGCTTTGGGGTGAGGAGAGCAACAGTGAAATCCTAATCCTCTCCTGGAGATTCTCTAGTGTAGCATGTGGGAAATAAAATGTTTGCCTTGGAGGCTAGTTTAGTCATGTTTAAGTCTGGAAGTATTATTGAATGGTTACATCTGATCTCTGATCCTATAAAAGATGCTTTTTTTTGCAAGTGAGCAATTCTCTTTTCAATACCTTCTTGACAGAAAGACAACTAAGGCTTTTGCTGCTGTCTGACAGGGATTGATGGCCCAGCTGCTTTTCAAGATGATGTTCAGAAGATAGGAAGTCAAGTACAGATTCTCACTGTTGGACAGTCCAGCCATGACGAAGTTGATGGAGAGAAAGTGGCTAGTGGTCAACAACAGCAAAGCAAACAAGATCTTAGAACAGCAATGCAGAAAAAAGGTAAGTAGCCAAAGCTTCCTTCATGTTCTCACTGCTTGCTTGATGTACATTGACTCCTTTTCATATTCTCACTCTCAGCCCTAGCCTAAGCAAAATTTGTTAGTCTGTATTTCTTCTCCTCAGAGCCTGTTAGGCTCTATTCTATTATCTAAAAAAAACCCAACCAAAACCAAACCTAAAAAAATAAATAAATAATGGAAGGTTCTACTGTCCCAAGGAACAAGAGCTCTGCAGGCTCTCAGGGATGTGACTTCCCCATCTGCAGTGCAGTGCTATTGAGATACCTGGCAGATGCTAATGTTCACATCCGTCTGTTCTCGTTTTTATATTTTACAACTCTGGAAATCACTTATTTGATGGCTAAAAAAAGAGCAGGGAATAGCAACGTTCAAAGTAGAATATTCATTTTAGTTGTACTGTCAGTTACATGTTGTTCACGTTTTCATAATGTGTGTTCATAATTGCAGAGGTGAAAAGTACAGCACTGTGTATTCTGCAGCATTTCCCACACAGAGTCCTCAAATGTTCTGGAATATTTTTTTTTCCTAGAGGCATGTATGCTTTGGAGATAGATTGTGTATGTACACATTCATGCATCTGTCTCTTCCTTCCTGCACTGTTGTTATCTCTCATTAGACAGTAACTGTAGGAAGGAAAAAAAAATCCTGAAACCCTCACAAAGCTTTTTCTGAAGACATTTGCTTTGGAGTTGTTCTTCTTCAGTGTACAGCTTTTGAAGCAAAGATGGCTCAAGCCAAGAGTGCTCTGATGCTTTAAGAACAAACTCTTTGTGTATAAAGAGCAAAATGTAAGTGCAAACTTGACTCGTGTAGAATAGACTATTCATACCTAAATGCCGCCTCTTGTCTGCAGAGCAGTTCTCACTAAGATTCATTTTTTCTGGGACGTTACCCTGCAGATGTGAGCAGCTTCAACTGAAATGGGCAGATTTTCTCCAAGTGCGCTATTTCCTGGGCATTTGAGTTGCAGGGGTGTTGGGCATGACTAACAAGTTCTGATCTGTGTGGTGATTGTGTTGCCTTAGACCATGGCTCAGAATATTTAATCGTGAGGCACACTACTAACTAAAGCTGATTGACTTAAAAACTACCCACAGACTTCTCAAATTAGGTCACAGCCTTCAGATTTTTACTCTGGGGGACACTTCTAGTTTTGATGGGTTTTTCCAGGTTAACATATATTTTTATTCTGCCCAAATTTTTGTTTATTTTTAATAGAAGCAGTGAGTGGAATTTTTTTGTTTTGCTTTGTTTCTTTATATTCTCAAATACATGATATGACCTTTTTTACCAGGTCTGAGTATACTCCTGATCAGAACAGGCACTGGTAAAAGTGAATCACTACTATACTTCAAGTTGGGAGTATTTTTATTTCCCATTTTTTAAAATGGGAATACTAAGGTTTATTCATTTTTATTAACAGCAGAGCTATGCTGGGTGAGACACAAAGAAAGGTATTAAGACAATGCTAGCAGCATCTCAGTAAAATATTTTGACTATGTGTGTACGGTTTGCTGCTTGATACCAGCAGAGGAGACTTGTTTAGAAAGTTCTGTGTATCCCAGTATTGATGTGACACTTCACATGTCAATAAGGCTCTTCATGGGGATTCCTACTGCCACTTCACTGCTTGTGGCATGTCCTTACTGGCAGGTCACCATTGGTCTGAAAAGCATTTAGAATTGCTGTCTCCCATAAGTCTTTCTCTTGCATGGAATGGGACCAAAAGGAGAAGAACACAGAGATAAAGTAGAAAGGGATCCGGTCCTGGTCGATGGCAAGTTGAAGATGAGTCAGCAGTGCCCTGGCTGCCAGGAGGGCCAACCCTGTCCTGGAGGGCATCAGGCAAAGCATTGCCAGCCGGTCGAAGGAAGGGATTGTCCTGCTCTGCTCTGTACTGGGGCGGCCTCATTTTGAATAGTGTGGCAGTTTTGGGCATCACAGTGGAAAAAAGCCATTAAGCTATTAGAGAGCATCTGAAGGAGAAGCCGTATGAGGAGGGGCTGAGGTCACTTGGTCTGTTTGACCTGGGGAAGAGGAGACTGAGGGGAGACCTTGTTTAGGTCTTCAACATCCTCATGAGGGGAAGAGGAGGGGTAGGTGCCGATCTCTTCACTCGCATGACCAGTGACAAGACACGGAGGAATGGCATGAAGCTGAGTCAGGGGAGGTTTAGGCTGGATATCAGGAGAAAGCTTTTCAACCAGAGGGTGGTTGGGCACTGGAACAGGCTCCCCAGGGAAGTGGCCACAGCACCAAGCCTGTCTGAGTTCAAGAAGCATTTGGACAATGCTGTCAAGCACATGGTGTGATTCTTGGGGTGTCCTGCAGAGGACCAGGAGCTGGACTCGATGATAGTGATGGGTCCCTTCCAACTCAGCATATTCTATGATTCTATGAAATGCTAACCAGCCTAATGGGAAAGGCTGAGTCCCATCAGATTTGCGTAACCCTGGTTTATGCCTGTTCTGCTCTTTGGCACTAACTTGGTGGAGAGAAACTTCTCTTAGCACATCTCTGCTTCCCCAGTGAGTCAAGTTGTGATATGAGACAAGAGGTTATAGGCTACTGAGTGTGAAAAGAATAAGCCACTTGCAAGAAAATGCCAAATGCTTTATTTGATTTCTCCATCTGTTGGAAATTGCCATACTAGAATAATTTTCTTCCTTCAGGAAATATTCGCCCTTTCGATTTCCAAAGTGTTAATCTGCAGAGTTCCTCCCTGGCAAATGAGTCACTAGGACAGAGCCAGACTTCCGTAAGTTTTAGCACTGAATAACTAACATGTAGGCCTCACATTTATCAGTTTGCAATATGTCTCTGTAGAGACATGGAATGAGCAATTTAATCTTAGTTCTTCTTTGACACCTGAAGTTACAACTGTTTTGAGATTTGGGGAGGAATAGATTTGATTTCTGGATTCAAAACCAAAACAGGAGCTCTCTGAAGCATTCTTCCCCACAGGTCATGAGGGCAGACTTTTCCAAGGCTGGCACAGAATTTTCACCACAAATATCAGTGGTGAAATAGTGAGCACAGGTGTAGAAATAAACCGATTACATCTGTGGATGTGAAGTATGGCTTTACTGCGCAGCTGCCAGCTGAGGAGATGGACTGTCTGTATTACCCATGCATAGAGCCTAGAACATGGTTGCCATTATTAAGAAATAATGCTTGTGATTAATGACTGTGTGATTAATAATGAGTGAGCTCTACAGGCTTTGAAAATATCTGTTGACCTGTGAACTCAGGCCTCCCTTGCATAACCAGATCCTATTGAAACTTTTTGCTGTCGTGCTCTGTGGTGTATGTCCATTCTGGGGGAACTGAAGAAGTGGATAATGAGACCTTTCATGATGCAGCTGAACGGAATGCAAGCATTGCATACGTTTCTGCTTTAGTTTTATACACTCACTCTTACTGTTCTGGTGGTGTTTCACTATCCAGTGTGCATCTGGCGTCAAAAGCCATTTTAAATGTCTTTTTTTTTCCATCTGTTCCAAAATGTGAACTGAAGTAAACAGTTATTGAGTCTATATCTACTGTTTATATTTCTGCACATTGGTTTGGTTCAGTCTCTGCTTGTTTCAGACCAAGTTTGTGTTCCAAAAGACTAAGCTACGAGAAAATCTTTATGTGTATTCCCAGAAGTCCTAGAAAAACAGTTCAGAGAGCCTGATTTCATCTTTCAATGATGTGGACACACTAGGCACAGGGATTGAGGTAGAATTTAGGCTGCCTGATTATGACTCTGAATACTTCTTTCTCTGTTTCCAAATGAATATTTGTGTAGAATCCGTGTGTATCACTTATTCAATCAGATTTCAGGTGTTTGGGTTTTTTGTTAGAATTCAAAAGTAGGCCGAGCCCCTACCATGCAGTGGTGCATCACACACAGGAGGGTTTGTGGCACAACTGTTCAGTGTGGATGAGGGTTTCTGAAGTTTCAGCTCTGTGATTCAGGTTTTTTTGGCTTTATTCAAGGTACTAAAAAAGAAGATGACAGGAGGTATAAGCAGGTAGAAGGTGAATTTGATTGTGCAGTGCAGAAAGATAAAATGTCCACAATTGCAAATTCAAGTGGCAGCATTATGGCCCCATCCCATAAGCCTTTAGCCCTTTGCAGTGTTCTCTTGCCAAGTTACGCTTGTTCACTCAATTAAGGGTTTGCAGAATCAAACCCATGGATTTTTTCCTTTCCCAGATCCCCATGCAAATCCATCCTGGTCCTCTTCCACCTCCCAATCCAGTCTTGTCGCCCTGGATCATGTTCCTGGTAAGTACAGAAGGAAAAAGTTAGCTATGCCCATGCTGCTTGGCTCTGGAAATCTGCATTTCATTTATCCTTCTGCATTGGACTTACCAGTAATGGGAATTCTGGACCAAGTGGGGTTTTTTTTGGTTTTTTTATAAGGATTAAATATAGCCTCTAATATGTGGAACTTAAAGAGTTTAAACTTGAATCTGGGATGGCTTCATCTGCATGCTACTCCTTGAACAACCAGGCCCAGCAAATGTCCCACCATTGATGGTTTTTGCTGCTATGATCTATTTGATATTCAAAGTTGTGTTTCCCTTTGAAATGTCTGAGGATTTGAATTCTTGTAAAGTCAAATTTTCAAGTGCTGTAAGGCAGTTCCGTTGGCCTGGGCTGATACTGTTCTTTACATGAAATGAAGATGCATGAGAACACTTCCTTGATGTGAATATTTCTTCTCAGTCTAAGATTTACTCTTCAGCAGATTTCATAGGAGCTGTTGAAAGTGTGCTGTAAAAGGGATTATATTTTAATTATTAAGGTCTCCAAGTGGCTCTGGCAAGTTGTCCTCTCAGCTCCAATTTCAGGTTTAAGATTTTGTGTTGTTTGAAGTATTTGATTGAATGAAGATGATCTGAATTTAGTTCCCAACTGGGTGTTTGCTCCTCTATCACTGGGTAGCTTGATCTTCTCTGTGAAATGGAAACCATGATGTTTCCTTTCTCTTTTACTGGAATGTTTTGGCTTCTCAGGGCAGATGCCATGTGTTCATACACTGCCTCACACAGTGAACCTCCCTGACACACACCCTCACTCACCTGTGAGCCTAAGGGTGCAGCAGCATGATAAGTGATGTTTTACAGCAAGTATGGAAGACTTTAACATATTAGTATTTCATATAAGTGTGGTGCTCTCTCCTCAGGCATTTCAAGTAGCATGAATTTTGATGAGGAAGAAGATGAGGAAGATGAAGACAGCTCCAGTTCTTCACAGTTAAACAGTAACACCCGACCTGGTTCTGCCACGAGCAAGAAATCCAACAAGGTAAGGGGAGAGTTCCGAAGAAGGGGCATGCAAGGTGCTATGTACTGCATGATTTCAGAGTGCAGCCAGGATAGGCCTGGCTTTGTTGTTCTGTTTTTAATATGCACTAGAGTATCTCCAGGGTGATTTACTGCGATAGCTCTTAGGGTTCACAGGAGCAAGCAATGAAAACAATGACTTGGAGAGAAGAATAGCAAATAGTGTCTGAACTTGAATGAAGAGAAAGGTAAACAGTAAATATTTACCTTTCTACCTCTTGCAGGTGCTCAGAAGGATCTTTTGTTGCCATTGACTTTTTCTAGGCATTTTCCCACCCTGTTCTCGCTGCCACCATCTGAACATAAAAATAAGACTTTGGATTGTTCAAACAATCTAAATCACAGGCTCTTGCTAAACCAGTTGATGGTGCCCCACTCTTTTGTATACTGCACTGACTTCTCATCTTTGTTATATCTCTATCTAGCTTAAACTGTTGCTCCCTATCGCATTTCTTCCTTTCATCAAAGGCCATCACTGTCCTTGAGTGTGGCCTTTCTGGGAAAAGGGGTGCGCTGAGATGGGAAGGTGTGAGCCAGGTTTTGCTGTGTAACTGTACAGCTTTCTGTCTGTGCAGCCACCCCATTCTGCTTTGCCAGCTGTGTCTGTACACTGAGCATCAGCTACACAGGCAACTTCTCCCCGGGCCTCTGGTAACCAAGAGCTTGACTGATTGGATTGGAAGAGATCCTTACCTTGACAAGCTGTCTTCAAGGCTGCTGAGGAACCAGAATGGGGAAGACAATATGTCCCTTATTTTTATTTTTTTTAAATTGCAACTGCTATCAAATGCCGTTCCTTTGTACTTATAACCTTGTAAATCAAAGCTGAGAAACTTGAATTTTGCTTATTGTTTTAGGAAGCGGCCGCAGCCCCCAGTCCTTCCACAAATGAGCCTCTCATAGACATCGATGACCTGGAGGAATTTGCCATAAGACCTGCTCCACAGGGTGTCACTGTCAAATGCAGAATCACAAGAGACAAGAAGGGAATGGATCGAGGGATGTACCCTACTTATTACCTCCACTTGGAAAGGGAGCATGGTAAAAAGGTCATAAAATAACTTGAATGGCATACCAGTTGCATCTGAATTTAAAAAACTGATAAAAATCTGAAGAAGTATTAGAAAGAAAATGTATAATTTCAATGTATTTTCACTTTCACTGAGATCTGTCCTACAGTCTTCCAAAAGCAAAACAGCAGTATCACTTTGTTCCACTGCCTTTCTTCATATGTCTAATCTTTGGCCTTAAATAATCCATGCATGGCACCTTTATGTGACTGTCAGCAGTTGGGGCTCTCTGTGTTCTGTGGCCTGAAAAGCATCTACTTTCAATTCAACTGGAAGAGCCAGAGCAACTTAGAATGAAACATTTAACAAAATAGATCAAATTTAATTATTTAAACCATAAATAATAGAAGTCATTTTCCTTTTCCAGTTTTTTTTTTCCCCTGGTTTTGCTAAGTCCCAGGAGACCTTCTGTCAGGAGACCTTCTGTTACTTTGCTAATGATGTTGGAAGACAGAAAAATTGCCTGTGGTTTATTATATATCAGGGCAGGAAGTGGTGTGTGCTAATCCCTTTAACATTCTGGAATATGTTTTTTTGCATTGCTTAGGTGTTTCTGTTAGCTGGAAGGAAACGAAAGAAGAGTAAAACCTCTAATTACCTCATCTCTATAGACCCAACTGACCTGTCTCGGGGCGGAGAGAGTTTTATTGGAAAACTGAGGTAAACAGTGATAAGTCTAAGAATTTTCATTGTATAATACAAAGTTAATTTGATATTAAGAAGCCTGTAAGCCACTATGACTTCTTCATTAGAGGCTTGACTACATACATCATGTGATAATGGTCTTAAAGATCACCAGTATCCAAGGAATGTTTTCAAAATCTTCCAAGTATTTATAGGATCACATTTTATTAAAAGTCATCAGGACTGAAGCTTCTTAAATGCTCAAAGGCCAGATTCTCAAGGGTGTACAAGCACAACTTATCTTAATGGGATTTTCAGAAGTGCATGAGCACATTGTGTCTAGCCTCTATTGATATAAATACCTTGGAATGGAAGTACTGTCTGTTACACAGAGAATCTCTTTGGTTTTGCCTGTTCCTTAAGATCCAAATCAGTTATTTGCAGGCAGTGGAATTATTTCAGAAGGACATGTTTCTTTTCTGTCTGTCACCCTGTTGTACACCAGTCTGTTGTTAATACCTGGAGCCTCCTGATGTATGTTTAGATCATCTTTGCCTGAGGAAAGGGCCTGTGCTGCTCGTTGCCATTTGCCTGTGTGGATCTTGGAACTTCACGTGCTACTTATTGCAGTGCAGACACAGAATGAGGATAATGTGGTTTTGTATGTCCTACATTGTATTTTGCACTCCTTTCCATTGAAATAGGAAAGATTATTTATGACTTTATAAAAATCACTCCCTATATTCTAGTGGGGTTTAGTAGTCAGGTAAGAAAGCAGATAGTTTTGTACAGAGTAAGCATACTTTAAAAACACAAGCAAACAAACAAAATAACCCAGCTGAGTGTTTCCTTACTGCTTTCTTCAAATTTTCTAGTTTGCAAGATGAAGCCTCCAGTGTAACGATAGGGGACTTTTAGTATACTCTGCTGTACTGTACTGTACTGTTTTTGTTACGGCCTTTAATCCAGGAGTTGCCATTTACCTGGGATTAGAAATAACAGCTCTCTCAACTCAGTACTTCTCTTTCCTTTGGGGCTACAGTGCAGTAAAGGATAGATGTCTCAAGCAGCATTACTGGCAAATGGTGATTGGATTTTCCGTTTTTTTGATAGATCAAATCTTATGGGAACTAAGTTTACAGTTTATGACAATGGAGTAAATCCAATGAAAACAACATCAAGCCTGGAGGCGAGTACCCTGCGTCAGGAGCTAGCTGCTATTTGTTACGTAAGTACTGCTCACAGGCAAAATGTGCAGGAAGGGCAGTTCAGTTTCTGAAACAGCACTCTGAATTTCCTTCTCACTTAGGATTATGTAAATCTACATTCATACTTGGATGTAACAGAGCAGCTGATCTCCACTAGAGAAACCGGGAAATTCAGTGGAAAGTAGAGGTAAAAAGTGTGCACTGAACACATCACCCAGTTCTCACCTTTGGTCAGAAGGTGTTGGGGCTTTTACACAACCCCCCTGGAGGGGGTAGGATGCTTCCTGCAGACACCAGCTGAGGGAGCCTCCTGAACTACAAGGAGTTGTGTGCATGGCATTACTGCTCTAGTGTGATTGTTTATTATGGCATTTTGGAGGAGGCATCTCTCATCCAAATCATACATAGGTAGCTGGACAGGTATGTGTGCAGCAGCTGAGAGACTGGGATAAAAAGTCTAAAACTCCTTTTTACCAGGAAAAAAACCTAAGCAAACCCCAAGCAAAATCCAAACTTGTACTGAATGAGAGAGACCAGCCTCTTATAAGACAGTAAATAGCACTTGTCAGGAGCAATGCAGACAGTGAAGACTTGAAACACAGTTGCTGTTGTTTCCTGATTGCTGGATAAGTAATAGTTTTGTTGAGATGATTCTTTCTGTCCAGAAATATGTGGGCCCAAGAAATCCTTCCATTCAAAGTTGGTATGTACACTGCTACAGAAAGTTGTCTGGTTTCACAAATCAACAACTTCAGATAAAAATATCCAAGAATGGCTTTTCTGAAAAGTTCCTGCCCAGCTTTAATCAAGGGTACTTGGAAATCTGTCAGTTCAAGGTCCAGCACATACTCAGTGTACGCACAGAATGTGTTCCCAGAAAGGTCAGCTTCGGGTTGTGGGGAGCAATGTGTCTGGAAGATTTCAGCACATGAGCAGAAAAGCAGAGAGCCATCCTTTCCATGCAAAGCGCCAAGAGTACTGAAGTGGGACAGTATTAGCTGCTAGCGTGTTCTTTTCCTGCTGCTTAGGATGCAGTTTTTCTGTGGATACAGTATAAATAGTGTGTTTGTTCACATGTGCTGTTACTCAGGCACATAGTTTACAGTTGGAGACAGACAGAGAAACAGATACATATGCCTCCATTCCTGTTAGATTTGAAACCCTCAGAAAATCCAGCCAGCAGGATTTAACAAGAAACTCCAGGACTTGGTGTCAGTTTGACTGAAGTTTCAGTAGAAACCTAGAACTTAGATGTTTATTGTAGGTAATTTTACTGATTTATATGGGAGGGCATTCCCTGGAGCTGGGCAACTAGTCTTCTGGTGCAAACTGGAAATACAAGAAGAAAATAAAAAACAATTGAAAAATGTTATATATTGAAAAATTTAGGCATTGCTTGTTTAAGTCAACAACAATAATTTTTGAATGATGAACATTGCCAAATTAAAAGCTGTTGTGGTCAGCAGAGGTAACTAGAAGTGCGAATGTTGGAAAGAACCGAACCATGGCCACTGTTGGCACAATGTGGCTGAGATAAGCTGCTTTTATGTGTGTATTTGTAATCAGCAGTTTGAAATTTGGACATTTGTATAAGAAAATTACTTTTTATAATAACAGAGAAAAGCAGCAGGCTTGCAGGTGTGCTGTGGCCAGAGGACAAAAGGAAATTGGAATGGTATTTCATTACTAGCCAGGTTTGCTAAAGTGAGATTACTGTCCCTGGCTGCAGCAGAACCACAGCAAAGAGTGCCAGGAAGAGCAGTATTGACTGAAACACCCTTGTCCTAAGGCAGTCTTTTAATTCCTGCCTTGAGATTTCCCCTGCAGCAAAAACTATAAAAAACAATACTTTAAAAGCACCATTATGCCTCTCACTGTCCCTCAACTCATCTGATCAGGTACCCATGTGGAGAGCAAGCTGTACCCACTCCCACCAATTTACTGAGCGTGACCTTCCTAATCACCTCAGCAGGTCTAGTTTATACAGGCAGAAACTGGTGATGCATCTGTTAACTGTGGGATAAATGTGTCGAGGACTCTCTTTGTGGAGCTCACCTTAGGGCATGTTTCAAGGATCGGGAACAGAGAGCAAGGACAGTTCTCTCAGGTGCTGTTAACCATTTTTACTCCCCCACTGCTGGCAGCCCAGCATATTAATAAACCTGCAGCAGCACCTAATGGCTGGTTGCAGAATCGCGTGACAAAATTTATCAAGGAGCAGTGAGGTGTAACTGTAATACTTGTACCAGGATTTTCTGTGCTGGATTCCTTTGTATCCATAGTATCTCACAATTCGGTTTGTGTCAGATTCTGCAGGCAGGGAGCTCAGCTGACATTCTGAGGTGCGACTCAGGTTTCAGTAAAGCAACAAGACCCCGTGTCTCTACTCAGGCCTCAGTCACTTGCATTGTGCTCCAGTGTTTTAGGTTCTGTGATTTGGGCTTTCTATGGAATGATAGTTTCTGCAGAAGATATTAAGCACAGATGTGTGAAACAAGTCCAGAAAGGGAAGTGGCTGAAAGAAAATTGGGGTAACAAAACTGTGAATGTCCTGGAAGCTGCTGGGATATACACCTTGCTGCTTTTATTGTGGCAGCTATTGCCACTAAAGCAAGATGCTTACATAGTTTCTTAGAAGTGTGTAAGGTTTTAAAAACAACCCTGTGCAGAGGCTCTGTGTTCTTTCAATCCAGTTTATTGTGACACATGCTTACAGAACAGCTGACTGGATTGGCTAAGGCAGAGAGTGCAGCTCTGAGCAGTACTGGGCCAAGTCCTTAGCTGGTTTTGATGACTGGTGTCCTGGTTGAGTCAATGGGTCTCTGCTAGCTAACAACACTTGTGCTCCTGTTTAAACTAAGACTGTCAGTGGCATTAAAAAGGTGTAAAAACAGAATTTGGCCTCTGTTCCCCCAATAATGCCGTTTGTAGTCTTGAATTTACACACTCAAAATCATGGAGGAGGGAAATAAAAGAGAAGCAGGGAATGAGAGAGGAGGTAGGGGGAATTAGTTTTATTTGGATGCATGTGTATTGGAAAGATTTGCTTTTAATTAAAGCTCCTCTTTTTGTCCTGACTGTTTTCCTCATATATTCCATGTTTATGTAATTCCAGTAGGGTACCATGATTTTATCAAAAGGGCAGCGTTTGCAGTACAATGTATGATAATTGGTGATGGTTGTAATGTGCAACTAGTGACCTTTCTCTTATCATGTGGCAGAAGTTCCAATTTTAGTGTTTCTGAGTAAATCCAAAGAGTATGGTCCTGTCTTTTCAGAGCGATAATACTGCTTGTTGGGAGGGAAGTGATTCAGCACTATTATTTAATTTTACCTTGAATAATGTCTTCAACCAGTCAGCATCTAAAATAATTATGTATAGCATAACTGCTGCCTGATGAGAAGAAAAGCTTGTAAGGCATTGCAGAGAGGGCTAAAATTGCCAGTAGTTAGTGGAAAATAAGCATAAGCATGAATTTTTTCTTAGAACTTGTCCTCTGCTGTGCTGAGTCTCTCTTACTGGCAGTCATATTAGTTTTCGTCTCACCATGACGCAGAACCAAGGATAACGCTTCCAACTGAACTGATAACATGTTTTACTCTGCCAAAAGATGTGACATAAATGATTCAGAAAAGAGGCAGGATCTTCTCATTAATGTACAGAGTTAGGAAGATATATGAATATACCTGGATTGCTTCAGGAGTATTCAGTAAAATAACTCAGTGGAATTTTTCTTGCACGCGTGAAAAACTTTAAAGAGTTGTGGAAAATCTCGAGATGGTTTGCTGAAACAACCAAAGTTATTTCAAAGGTCTGATGGATGACAAAACTGCACAAGTAATTTTTAGGCATATTTTTCAGATGTTTTTGGTGAGTTGAGATGCTTGGATTTTTACTCGCAAGAGTAGGAATGTTTTAAAAAGCTTAGTGTTCCTTAAAATCAGGACACTTTGATTAAAAGTATAAAAGCAGAGACATCTGAATGTGTAATTTCTAAATGTCCCAGTGGTAAAGCCCCACCAGCTGGAGGCCAGGGCTGGCTGGTTCTTGTCATCTTGTGGTGTGTTGCTGGGAATAGCACCAATAGGAATGTCCTTCCTGAGATTCCTTAGTATATGTCCACGGCCCTTCATTTCAGAATGGTAGAGGGGAAAAAAATCCATATGACTGGAAAAAAAATTATCATGAAACTTGAGGATATGAACTTCCACTATTTCATTTACTGGAGTTAATACTAAAATCAGCTTTTACTGAGTGGATTGGGAAATACTGTCCTTTACCTTTTTGAAAGCATATGATGACTTAGAGAAATATTTGGCCCTAGTTGCTTCTGAGGGAGAAAAAAAGAAGTGTCAGATAAAAATAAGGCTTTAGGCTGGTTTAGATTTTAATGGTTGTGTTTTGAGAGGACAGTGAGAGCTGTCCTCTGCTGGAGAGCTGTTACTGGAGAGCTTTTGTAAAAATATGGTCAAAAGCATCAGATCATGTTTAATGCAAGAACTTGTATTTTCCATGGATTTACTTTTGCTGCCCCTGTGATTTCTTTACTTTCCCTGTCTTCATAGCTAGAAAATTTGCCTTCATGCTAATGTGTTTGTTTTTTACCATGTTCATCTCTAAGCATAACATATCTGAAGGCTTTGAAAACCACAGCACTGCTAACAGATGCTCTTACTGGCAGCTTCTTCTTGTTTGCTTTTGTGCTGGCTCTGGAATAAATGGAGCTGGTCCCATATCTTTAATTTTGTCTCGCATCAAAATGTGTGACTGCATTTTATGATTTTTAAATTGCAACTACTTTATTTTGGGATCTAGCAGTAGCCAAGCAATCTGGTTAATTCATATCCTTTTTTAACAAAGGGATTTTTGTTTTTAAATTATATTAAGGTGCTGGCAGCCAATGCTAGGAATGTTTTTGGAAACCTCTCTATTTCCATTTTTCCTGTTGTTGGAGCTTCTAAGACAAAGCTAGAATGTTTGGCAGTGCCAGTGAAGGTGGGAGTTTCAAGATGTTTTTCTAGTTGACTAACAAATAAGTTCCCATGGCTGCCACTGTGTCTCTCTGTTGAAGAAATTAACTTTAAAAATAAAGAACATGATGAAATCTTTTCTAAACATTTTTAGGAAACAAATGTCTTGGGATTTAAAGGACCTCGTAAAATGAGTGTGATCATACCAGGAATGAATATGGACCACGAAAGAGTTTCCATCAGGCCACGAAATGTAAGTCACACCATCAGCCAACACTAAAAAATAACTTGAATTCTCTTTCAGTTAGAGTCGGGGTTTTTAATTGCATTTCTGAAGGTCTAGAGGTAAATAAAGTGGTGTTTGAACAACTGCATAACAATAGGATGTGTGACTAGTCCTGTGACTCACAAAAGCACTACAAATAATATATTTTGGTAACAAAACTTACAACTAACATTTTCCAAATGGTGGAAAGGACTCAAATGCACATTCACATTAAGATCCTCAGAGTTCTCTCTTTCGGTCGTTGAAGCTGTTTTAAGGATTGAGGGTAACAGTTCAGTTTTTGGGCTAGGATTTATGAATTCTTATGTTCTTTTCTAATGTATTTTTTGTCATGTGATTATGTTAAAGCAAAGTGTGTATCTGTGATGTGTGCAGGAACATGAGACACTTCTTGCAAGATGGCAGAACAAAAACACAGAGAGTGTCATTGAGCTGCATAACAAAACACCAGTCTGGAATGACGACACCCAGTCCTATGTTTTAAATTTCCATGGTCGAGTCACACTGGCCTCGGTGAAAAACTTCCAAATTATTCATGACAATGATCGTAAGTACAGCTCTCAGTCAGTGATGTGTAGGAAGAGTACTGCATGCACAGCCTGGGAGGGATTCTGCACTTGCAGTTGTTATCTGAGCAGGTTTAATTGAATTCTGTGGGTCCAGCTTAATACTGCTCTACCTTATGGCTGTGGCATTGATGCAAGTTAGGTGTTTAAATGCTCATGCTTGCAACAGGGGATAGCTATGTGCTGTCTGAGTTTTCTGCTGTGGTTGCCCAGCTTATGAACTGAGCAACAGTTTAAAGTCATTTCTGCTCTCAGACCAGCTGCCTCGCAGTCCTGCAGTCAGCAGGACCACAGGGCAGGGTCACTCTGCTCAAGCATGTGTATCACATAATCCTTCCTTGGTTTTTTTGTTTGCTCTGGTCCCCACACACTGCTCAGCTGGAGGTGGCAGTCACACCAGTCCCACTGCACATCCACCTTGCCATTACTAGTCTTTGTGGCATTAGCCCTACAGAACATTGCCAATGTCAGAACAGCCTTTCACATTATCCCCAGGCCCTTACTGATGGGCTGCTTTCTGCCATCAATGTGCAGCTGCCTTTTTTTCTCCAGTTTAGGTACAGTTGTTGGAGCCATGATAAGGGCAGATGCTGGAATGGAGCAGCGCTGCCCCACTTCATGCCCACTTTAGGCAGGCACAGTCACTAATGCTGGAGCCCACCAGGCTAGACCAGTGCCATGCAGACTGCAGGGAAACTGGTGAAAGTGGCTGTGCTAGTGTCTGAGAGCAACACTGAATTTGAAACATTGATGTATGCATTTGCTGCATTTTATAAGGGGAAACAGGTACACCTGCTTCTGCAATTAAACATTTCCAACTGTGAATGAGGCTTAGATTTCCTCTTGCTGACAAAGAGTACAAAAGGGAAAAAAGTTGGGAAGAATTTCTGAACGTGCTATAACAGAGAGATATGATTAGGTCTAGATAATAATTATACCTTTTCTTCCTCCATTTTGCTTATTTTTGCTTGTCCACTTGCCTGAAGTTAAGTGAGAATAGAATTAACTGGTTCTTGGTGCACGTGAAATTTGGCACTAGATCTGTAAAAGAGGTTTGAACATTCTATAAAGAAGCCATTTTCTCTCTCTGTGCTTGCAAAAAACACTTTTTATCTGTGTCCTTCTTTTAACAGTAACAAATCTTGCAACCCTCGATCACTCAAGCTATCCTTGCTTCTCCCTCTGCTATCAGCACACCCACTTGCATGAATAAGTGTTGGGAAGTTTCATGAGTGAGCACGTTTTGTTTGTGTTTCGTTGAACTGGGCCAGAGGATGATGTTGAATGCATACTGATTTAGTAAGGACTGCAAACAAAAATAATGCTCTGTCACCTTTTATGACCTTTCTTGCAGCTGACTATATAGTGATGCAGTTTGGCCGCGTGGCTGAGGATGTGTTCACCATGGACTACAACTACCCAATGTGTGCACTACAAGCCTTTGCAATTGCCCTTTCCAGTTTTGACAGCAAGCTGGCTTGTGAGTAAAGGGGCGTGGGTGAGCATCCTCTCAAAGGAAGCAGTTTGCCATATGATTCCCAATTCCTGCTGGTGTCACTTGTGGTCCATAATAAAAAGGTCAGGGAAAATGCAGTTGTGGAGGACTACTCTATTGCTGAAGAGAAAGTAAAAGGAATCTTCTAAAAATTCAGGACATTCAGGAAATTATATTTTCCTTTTTTTTTTTTTTTCCTGTCATATTTTTCTGGAAGTGACATCAAGGTTTTGTAAATAGAAGTTCTATCTCATGTCCCTGGTTATGTTATGGATACGTGCCATGATGTACTGTACCATGGCTCTAGTGGCACCATTACATTGGTGTCTTTTTTAAATCCAGAAAGGGCGTGAACGCTCGAAAAGTTCCTTTTTACATGTAAGAATTGTTCTGAGGCTGCAATCATACCTCAAGGTTGCATTCCTACATCGACTAATCAGAGCTTCACATCATCCAGCGTTAAAGAAAGATCAGAAAAAAAGATGCACTTTTTTTTGATTGTGCAAGGATCTCGTGTAGTATAAAGCCAAGTCTGAAGGTTGTAAACCTATACTGGACTGAACTTGATGCATTGCTATTGTACATGTAGTAGGGCATGATGAATTTTAATTGCGGTAGGAGGAAATGGAGAAGTAGAAAGCACAAAACAATGTTGCACAAGTCACTTGAATTCTAAGCTGTTGTTATGTTTTAACATCTACATGCTTTTTAATTTGTTTCAAATGAAAATGTATTTGAAGTACAGAAAAGGGAAAGGGAAACATCTAGATGCCAAGAAAGCAAAACTTATGTTGAATTTGGCATTTTGTGTGCTGGGAATTTATATCCTTGTATTTCTCTGGTAATTCAAACACATATTTTGTATGAAGTGATATAAACAGTTGGATAAAGGCTCTCTGCAGCAAATCTTATTATTTTGAACAGGCTGTGTAAAGCTGAGGAAGGTAAATGGAAATATTTTATTAAATTTGTCTGGCCTTTTGAGCTTTTACAATTTGTTGATTGCATTTTTGAACTTTCAGCGACAACCACTTTTCATATTTATTTCCCATTGTAAGAATGCTTGAAATCGATTGAAACTGTGTATGTTGTTCTCTGATGTAAATGTGCCAGCTACTGAGCTAAATCCTTCTAGGCAAATCTAGTGCATACTGCATACAAATGAGACACTGGCAGGACACAGAATACCTTAAAATAGTGTGGAATTTTTGTTTCCTTTTTTCTGATTTATCTGGAATATATAAAAAAATACCATTTCAAAACACAGGCAAAGAAAAAACATTCTATTATCTTTTCTCCTGAACATCTCAAAAGCCCAGAGCTGCAACTGAAAGCACATTGTAAAACACTTTTAAAAATAACGGTCTTTCTGCCATTGTTCTGTACAATGTTATCCATAATGGCACACAAAGTAATAGAATTTATATGTAGTTCATCAGAAGGGTATTGAAATGTGAGTCAAGTGAAGAAGTTGTAGCGTTTTATACTGTGTGGATTCAGGTCCTCCTTTTTACTCCTTATAGACTCTTGCATTGCACAACCAAAGATTATGTAATGCAAAAATGAGATCAAATCATTGTATCATAGTTGCCAGTTCCTTTTTGGCTATAAGGGACAGTCCACAAGGCTCTCCTTAAGATTGTGCCATTTAGACTGTATAATTTCAACTAATAAAAAAATATACTCTCTTCTTCACCTTTGCCTTCAGATCTCCTTCCCAGTATACAGACAAGGAAATTTCATGGAAGAGATGAAAATAGGTGATTGCCAGTATTTTTTTATAATCTTTTAAACAATCTATGGGGAAGAGTCTGCTGGCTTTGAACAGTGTTTTGTCGATGGACTCAGCCTGTCAAATATTATCTTCAGTTAACAGGAAGTTCTGCCTTTTTTTTCAAATCTTTTTCCAAGAAGCCTTTCCATGCAATGGTACAAAATGAAAAGACAGCTTTTGTTAGAGAGAAATGAGCAGTCAGTTCCCTCAATGAATGACCAAAGTGTTGAGTCATGAGCTGCAGTCTGATCCTTAGGCTTTGCACTTGGATGTTTTTCTCTGTAGCTGGTGGTTTCCCACCATTTCACATCCCAATCTGTCATCTCACTTTAAATTTAAACAGTGAAGGCCCTTAGGCCTTTGCTTACCTCAGATCAGTCTTTAAAAACTAGCTCCAATGACAAACAGAATTTTTTGTTCAGACTACTGCAGAACCAGTCAAGAATTCCCACTGCTGGGATTTAGGTGTGATGTGGATTTCAAGAACTCTGCAGCACGGGAATGGTTGAATCTGCATGGCTTTAATTCTGTGCCTTGCCAGTCATACTCTTTCTTTAAAGCCTGAGAAAGTGGCACCTGACATAGTTTTCTGCTTCCCTCTATGCACAGCACTGTGTCAAAGGAACTAAGTGTCTTATGGTGCAAATACACAATCTGCTGGCTTTTGTAGTGGAGTTGGTTTAGGAAGGGTTATTTTTAACGCAGATTGTAACAATGGTCTGACTCACATCATGACCCCACTGGGAATTGGCATGAAAGGAAGCTCATGTGCAGTGAACTCCTGCACAAGGGTGAGAATGAGGGGCTGGGGAAAGGCAGAGAGTTCAGCTTCTTGGGATAGTTTTGCTGCCAGCACATTGTGTAACTTCACTCTCACTGCATGTTCTTCCCAGCCAGGTATTTTTTTTAACCTGTAACCATGCCAGGAGGAAAGCGGTGACTCAAATTCCCATCATCTTAACAGAATTGTTCAAGGCCATCAGCCAATGAGCTGCTGAGGAAAAAACTCCCCACCATAAATTGAGGTCACTAGGGGGGGATGTTAACCTGGGACTAAAGAATGAGGAGCTCTCATTAAATCTGGTCCAGTTAGAATAGGATTTGTTCCTAGTGGCCTTTGCCAAAACCCTGATTCCTCACTGTTGTTGAGCAAGGTACTGGGTTCTTTTGATTCACCTGACCTTCACCATCTGCTCTGGAAGCAGGTACTTTTAATTTAAAACTATATTATTTCTGATGGGCATTTTCTGGTGAACGTCTCTACTGCATGCCAATGCAAGGTGATATCACAAGTTTTCCAGCACATCTCTAAATTTTGTTCTCCTAACATGGTAAAGTCTTAGCATAGAGTCATACCTGAAATACTGTCCTCACAAAGTTAGATTTTCTTCCACAACAGTAATAAAATCTTGGTACCAGTAAGTATTTTCAGAGATTTATGCATACTAAAGTAACCAAGGTGTAGTTAGTGGCACACTCATATTAATAACTTCTGCTGGCCCTGCATGTCAGTGTGCAACAGGGCATAACCTTGTTTACTCAGTGTGACAAAGAATATAATGGCCCTGAGCTGTGTATTTACTTCACATAGTCCTAGTGAGTGTCTGGATACAGTAGATTTAATATTATTTAAAATCCCAATATTGATGATTTTTTGCATCTGCTGTTGATTTTGGCAGAGCTGTAAACAAATTCCTTGCCTGAATTGCTCATAGGCAAATACTGCATGCTTTAATGAGAGTTCTTAATCTAACTTGTCACTCTGTTTACATCAAACAGTTTCTTCCTGGCCCTTTATCTAATTTGCTTCATCTCTGATGTTCTGTTCCTTCTCATTCTCTTCACAATTCTTTTATCTGTTCTTTAAGGATGTGCAACTCAAAAGTGTTTGACAATATTGCTCAGTGATCTCTCCACAGATGAATAATGCCTTTGGTGCACATTCAGTGATGCTCCTACAATAGAAGCCTTATCAGAGGGATGAATTTGGCCCTTTGGCTTTTCAGTAGAGTAAATTAACACATTAAAAGGTAGCAGATAAAAAAGCTTGCCTAAAATTTAATCAGAATTTTTCTCAGTAAACATTCAGTAACTGGAGTTTCCAAACCATTGGTTGCAAATCAATGAGCAGAGCTGTCCACAAACCCAGAGGCAGGCTGTTAGATTCCCTTTGTAGTGCTGCCTCATTTTTCCTTTTTTCAAAAGGTTGAAAGTGATTTTGTGAGCTGAAGTGTGTTGGTTGCCTATAATAGAGTTTGTTTTTTAGAAGCTAGACATCACTCTGCTCCTTTTGTAGGATAATATATGGCACATAAAATAGTAATGTTACAAATTCTGATGCTAAGAAATCTGTGAGAATGGTTTTGTAATAATTACTGGGCAAATCTCTGGCTATTCAAGTTCCTTACAATAGTGCTGGAGTTCCCAGCTGGCTGTCCTCATGAGGTACTACAACTGAAGGAGCTGTAGTGAAAAGGGCTCTGTAATAAAATCTGGTGGCTGCACAATCGAAAAACATTATTGTGGAGTCAAATGACACCACTGAGTTTTATCAGTCATGGTGAACCAATGCCATCAATTCAAACTTTGAGGTTTTGCTCCCTTATAATGAACAAAGGAGGGATTTTAAACAAGCAGAGACACCACTGAGTCCCTAAAAGTATTGAGTGTTAGACCTGCTTTTCTGCTATAAAAATCTTACCCCTACCTGAGAGCTACCCATTAAAAAAGAAGGAAATCAATCCAGTCCTTAGTATGGAAAATCACTCCCAGTTCTTGTATCTTACATTTTTGCAGATTTTATTATTAATTTTTTAATTTATTAGTGATTTTGCATAGGATGCAACGAGGACTGGGAAAAAAGTGTTCTTGCCCTGAAGGAATGATGAGTTTAGACCACTATTGCAATATTTTGTCTTTGTTTATTTTAATAGGACAGAACAGAGGGTTACCTGGTGTTCCTGGCAGGGAAAGTTTCTCCTAACGTGTGGCAGATATCAGAGGAAAGACTTTGGTTTGGGTTTGATCCTGTGGCATCTTAACTATCTGCCCCATTGCTCTCCTAAAACATCATTTGCCAGACTTTCCTGCTTTTAGAGAAGCATGTGCTCACAAGTAAATAACTTTGCTTGGCAATTAAGGACAGCACAGCAGTCACCTTTATTAGAATTATGGCCTGATAACTCAGATTTCTCAGAAGGCCTCATTTTGATTACTAGAATAAAATAGTTTTATACACATAAGTCTTGCAATAGAATTAATTTAACTGTAGGTGCAAGCTTCTCTTGTACGTTCTACTTAATGAAAACAGATTTCTGTTGCTCCTCGTGTACGAAAAGTACCTTCCAGGGTTCTGCTCTGCAAGTGTTTGAAATTAATTATGTAGACACTTTTCAGTTCTTTTTGTTGCTCACCAAGGAACTAAGAAAAGAATTTGCACAACTCTCGCAGTGCTTTGGTATTTTGCTATGAACTATAGCTCAGTAGCTGATACTCACAAATGCCTGTTTATTGGATGAAAATGCATTAAAACTTATTTTGTATGTTGTATTTTATTTAACTGCCTAGAAATTATAGATTCCCCTTTTTCAGTAAGGGTGTGTTTATCCATACTTCACTGATGACAAGACTTGAATTAACTGGCTTTCTTGAAACTGTTTAATGGAACCAGTACTCTGGTTTGCTAGATGGCTTTAGGAAGAGGATGCCATTCAGGAAAATTATGCTTACATTTTTGAGAAAAAAACACTTTCCTATTCATGTTATAATTGGATTACACAATAACATTGGAAGCTTTTCATGGTTTTATTTAAGTCTGCATTGGCAGTTTGAAAATTACTCTGGCAAAAGCTTGTTAAGCACATGAACTGGAACGAAGTCCTACTCGAGAGTAGGAAGTAGTACCTAGCAAGTACCAGTGAATACTCATGCATCTCTTTTGGTGCTTGGGTGCAAAAAAAGCCCTGAAGAATCCAAATCTGTGTTAAAATCAGCCTAGTCTTTCAGGTTGTCCAACAGCTGATAGAACACAGGCCTGGGGATCAGGTCACCTGGCTGGTAATCCCAACTGACTGTCTGACTTTGTGCAAATCTTGGAACGTCTTTGTGCCTCCATTCCAATAAGTTGAATGGAAATACTAGTTTTTAGCCTGCCTACGTCTGTCTCTTATCTTCTGAGAGGTTTCTCAGGAATATTTTGAGGCTGGTTGATGACAATTGGTGTTGCCATGCTCAGAACCCTATTAGTGCTCACCGAAGGAACCTCAGTAAAAATATGAAGTTTTCTGCTATCTGTGTAGAAACTGAATAGCTAAACAATCTCTTAGGATAAAATCATGATGCTGTTGAATTCTATGGAAATCTTGTCAATGATTTCAGTGAGGCTTCAGTTTTTCTACCTTGTGTCATTTTTAGTTACTGGAAGTGCAGAAAAACAGTAGGACAAACCACCTGATACATGTTACCTTTTCACAGCAATGTGTTGTTGGTTGTGTTTTACTTTGCAGCATCAGTTGTTTCAAAATTATTATTCCTGAACATGTTGCAGAGGTTCAGTTAATGCAACCACCTATTTATGCTTTTATGGAGCAAGCCAAGACACTTGGCGATTGTGCTGCAAATTGCATTTTTGTGCTGTTGTTCGTTTGTTTTTTTCACTTGGATGTGACTCAGTTGTTCAAAAATGTTTTTACTGCAGACTTTGACTCTGTCACGCACATCTAATTTAAAAACAATGAGTCTCATGATTTATGACTACTTTTATACTGAAATGGGATGTTTACAATGCAATGTTTCTCACATTTCACCCTGTATCTGTGGCTTCCTACTGAGGCTATCCCAGTTGGCACAATGCCATTAGAAGTGTCAGTAATTTATAAAGTGAACTCTCTCAAAGTACCAGAATGCAATTAAAAAACATTTTTATAAATCTTAACATTAAAATCTAGCTGATTTTAATGCTTACAGATTGCGTGAAATTTCAAGGAGATTATTTGTTCAAAATTTTCTTTCCTTAAGCTTGTTTTGAAGTTTGAGCTCTCATTTATGATGTAAGCTTCTGATCCTGCAGCTTCATCTGAGCAAGCCAAACAGAGCTTGGCCTGTGCAGATTGCCAGGCTTTGACTGCAGGAATCTGTCAGTGTGATGAGGAACACAGTAAGTGATGAGATTTCTGAAGTCCTAACAAGAGTGCTCTTCCTAATTCTCTTAGGCACTCTTGAACATCACGTAAGAAATCACATACCTTTCCTATGTTGACTCACCAAATAATAGCAGGAGTATTTTCATTCCATTTGAATTTTAAAATTTTTTTTAAAGGCTATGCCAACTGTCTAGGTAAGTGTAACCTTAACAACATTTAGTCTTGATGTCTTGGAAAACTATATCATAAGATCACTTATTTTGCCAGTGCAGAAAATCTCATCATTACACAAAACCAGAGTATGTTGTGTGGCAGTGGGCTTTGGGCACTGCTCACAGGATAATTAAGCTTGGAAAAGACCTCCAAGATCATCAAGTCCAACCTTTGAGGTCCTATTAAGTTTAGTGTTCAAACAAGTTTGTGAGCTCTGGCACCTTATAACAGGAGGTCTTCATTCCAGTCTGAGACAGGTGAAGATAACCCAATTATTACCATCCTGTTCTCTTCCCTAGGGAGAATCTCCTGTCCTTGCTGGCTAGATGTAGAACTGTATTGATCCTGATGTGTCTTTAAACATTACAGCATTTTTTAGCTATTTTAAAAATGTTTTCAAAGATGTGGTTTAAGTTCAAATAAAATAGTCTTTGAAGTAGTTATAGGTGTACCAAGTTGATTTAGTTGAGAGGCAGCTGCCTTTTCCAGCCATTTCCTCAGTTGTTGTATGAGCAGTGCTTGATAGTCCTGCTGGAAAAAACATAACATAGCTATTATAATATGCTTTCCTTGGGTTTTGCCTTATGATTCTGCTGTTTTGTGCACCTCTGCATTTATTTCTGAAGGGCAGTACTTCCAGTGCTAAACACAAATAGAGCAGTGTTTTCTAATAAAGTCTCTGCCTCATTTTCTGCTGTGGAGATTTACATGTGGAGATTTGGTATTTGATACTAAAAATATAAACTTTTCATCCAAGAAAAAAACCAGAATTTCTAGGCAAAGTCACTGACACTTAGTGCTATGTGCCTGGATTGACAGAGGGCTTATTTTTGCCAACCAGGAATCCTATTACTGGCAGAGTAGTGTGTGCATGAAACATCCTACGATACCCTGTTGCATACTACATCTGGGACACAGTGTGAGGGCCTGGTCTAAAGATACAGCCCTCTCTCACCTAAATGGCACAATGTTCCTTTCTGGGGGGCTTTCCATTGATACCTTTATGCTTGTTGCACTATCTTCCATCTTGGGGCCAATCTGTGATAAATATCAGCCTTAACAAATGTCCCCAAACTAAAAACAGCACTTTGGAAAGATGCTAGTAAAGCCTCACATAAGTCTGGGAGCAGCAGGTGAGTATTATTATACACAGTTCTCATTCGGCAATTGAAGCTGCACTGTAATCAAGTTTCATGCAAATTAATTTATGAAGATGGCCCAGAACAAACACGAGGGTGCTGTGCAAGTGTCAGGAACTGAGAAGTTGCTCTGCAAAAACTTTAATCAAGTCCACTGAGTTTTCCTAAGTAAAGAAAAAAACCCCAACAATGGGGCTCTATTTCATTTCTAACTGTATTTATTTGTAGTTTCAGTGTTTTATAATGTAGGTTAAAAAGATAGAATTTCTGTGTTCTGTTAATTCTAACTTCTGGGTTAAGTAGGACTGCATCAGTGATGTGTACTCCTAAAAGATTTGTGGCAGTGTCATCTCAAAAAGCTGATTGTGGAATATGGCTCTTAAACTATGGTAAACTCTCAAGAGTTACTGAATTCAGTGACACCATGACAAGGTTTTTTGTTGGATTTCTTTTCTTTAGAAAGGAATCACCCCCAACCCCTGTTTTTGAAAGCACTGGTTATTCTGTCTTTTGGACCTCATTGCACAAGTCCATGAGGATGGATTCCTATTTGGTATCACTTCAAATACTTTTTTGAAGGTGGTAGCTGCTTTTCAGCTGCTTAGTAATCTATGTTACTGCAATTGCCTTGTTTTGTTCTCAGCTTCCCAATTTCCACCCCACCCCCCCCCACTATAACTTTCTCTCCTTTCAAAGATGTACAGGTTTTTCCATATGGGGACACTCCAGAACACTAAGTCAGTAAAACCTCTATAAAGTCAATGTCTGTGAACTAAAGTGTGTTAAATCCCTGTGTATATGTTCCCATTTTGAAATAAGGTGGCCTTCAGTTCAGGTTGTGTAATCCTCCACCCGGGTATTCATCACATTGTGCAGTTCAAGGTCGTTGGTGAATTTTAAAGTGCTGAACAGGTTTCTGACCAAGATATTGGAGAACATATGTAAAGGGATTCACCCTTCTGTACTCTCAGGGTGGCACTTAGGACTTAAGAGTGCCGCATTCCTAACAGTTGGCTCCTTGAATTGCGCCTGCCAAGCTCATCACCTGCACCCCTGAGGCCACGTTTCTGAAGTCCTCTTTTCCTACTGCAGTAGTTTTCAGCACTCCCTGATTTATTGCCACCTGTATGGTGAATTTAAGCTTCCTGACAACAGTGTACTTTCTTCTTGGGTTTTTGTGGATGTCGGGGTCTGGGGACTGTATGCTCAAAGCAGCTGCTTTACCAGTATAGCAGAGCTTGATGCTAGGGGCATGATGTAAATGATGCCAGTATAGCTAGGTTTATTTTTAGAGTGCCCATCAGAGGTATGCTTGTTTGTCAGAAAATAATCTTCCTTTCTCTTTTTCTTCTTCATTTATATCTGCCTGGATCTGGAGGATGACAGCCCCTCTTAGCATTCATGCAAGCAGCCACCATATCAGAAAAACACACACAACGGGTTTATTACGGACGGGTTTATCACTAAGCAGTGCAACTCTTACATGCTTACTGTCACCCTGCCCTGTAACAGTGCATGTTTTTCCCTGTGTGCTGTTCCCTACCTTGTGTGTCTGTCACCAGTCAGAGGACACAGCTGCAAAGATGTGCATGGAAGCTTAGCAAAGAAAATGCTGAACCGAAGCCATTAAAATACAGTTCTCCCAATACTGAAGAAAGAGCTCCTCCTGAAGGCAAAAATTGGGACCTGTGGTTCTTTAAGTTATTTGAAGTTTCCATGTGTTTGCATTGCATATAAGAAGATAACACCTTTTTATTATACTTGCACTATTTTGAGCCCTAAGCCCAGAAAAAGGCATCACAGAATCCAAGGAACGCAGTTACAGAGAAGCAAACCAAAGTGCAAACAAGCTCCATTTACAGATGAGGAGGAACTCCAGTGTGCAGACGAGGCAATAGGATGTGCTGGGGAATGACAGTAGGGTGATTTTTTGCTGGAGAATTGGCCACACCGCTTGGCATCGCTTAGAGTGAGTCATGGATTTCAGTGTTGGTTGATACACTATGATGGTCACTGCCTGTGGTGTGTTATGTTGGTAAGAACTCTGCCCATACCACGTGTTTCTCTCCTAAACAGCCTGATTTATGTGCATATCTCTTCATGATGACACTTTCACCCATTTATTTCTATTTCAGGCCTAATCCCAAGCCTGCTGGTGTAACTGAACATTTCTTTCTAACTTCTCTTGTGTCTCCATAATGTCACATTTCCGTGTCTCTCCCACAGTCCTGATGTCTTCTTGTCTGTCTTTGTTTAAAAGTGGGCTTAGATGGATTGCAAAAATTGGGCATTACTGGCATGAATACTTCAGGAAGTTGGATTTGGAAAGGAGGGCAAAGTTGGCTCTTACACACATCCCATGAAGACTTGTTGACTCTCAAAGGGGGATCTAGAATGTCTATTGGTGAAAAAGTTGACCTTTTCCATTAGAACGTGCTGTTAAATTCTGTGATGTCATTACTGCAACTAAACAGGGCATTTAGAAAAACAAAATGCTGCCCATGATTTAGGGGATAAAATAGTGGATAACTGAACCTGCACAAGAATTAGCAAATCACAGAGGGAGCTTCTCTAAGAAACAAGGTCTGTAAGAAACAAACCTTTTACAGTGGCTTACTGAAAAACATGGATGAAAAAGACAAATATTGGGGGTTTATTAATTTTATTAGTAGTATCTTAAAAGTATAAAAATCTTTTCTTGTGATTGAAACTAACAGTTTATTTCAAATTAAAATCCTGTGCTTGCGGAAAGGAAAATCAGGTCCTCTGGCAGTTATAAACCATAAAGGGGGCATCCCTACATGTCCAGTACAGCTGGATTCTCAGTATTAGGGGTGGGCTGGGCTTAATTTATGACTTTCCCAATGTGTTCCAGAGGTAGATGTGCAAATATTTGTGCTGTGCACACACACACATATAAATATGGATATAGTCTTAAAAAAACTTCTTTGGTGGTATTAGTCTTCTTTCCCTCTGTTCACAGTGACACATAAACCATTATATTAATTTGCCTTGGTGTTAATTATTTCAAAATCTCTCTAAAAGAGTCAAATATTTGAAACTTCTTCTATAACAATTTTGAACAAGTGATTTTTTTTTTCTATTAAAAAGATTAAAGAAAGTTCTCTCTCATGCTTTCCATGTAAGTGTCTGTACCTATTACAGAGAGCCATCTGCTCTTCCTTTGAGGTGGCTTTTCAGTGGGATTGATCCATGCAGTGAGTCAACTTCTACCCTGTGATTACAAGACTGGGGCTTTTGTTTCTCCTTTTTGAACAATTTCTTATATTCGACAGCAAGAAACAAGGGGAAAAGTGTCTGTGGAGGATGTTTTGTAATTCGTTGCACCTTTAGGAAATATCTCAGAAACTCAATAGTTTTGAGGTGGTTCATTTCTGAGAGTTCCTAGTAGACGTGGAGCTGGTTTTGTACTTTCCAACATCATCTTCATCCAACTCATGGCAGTCTGAAATATCCAGTGTTTGGGAGCAGCTGAAGAAATACCCATTTTAGAATGTGTTGTGACTATATCTGCCTGTAAAGAAAAATAGCCTTTGTTTCTGACATGTTTACTTAAACTTCAAGAAGTACAAAATGTGCTACATAAATGTTTCTACCCCCAGAAAATGAAAAAGCAGTTTAATTAGGGGGGGTTTATTTTTTTTTATTCCCACAGTAAACATTTTCTTATTCATTTCTTTGCCTTTCTTAAATAAACCAATGTTATACTGTAGAATTTGGATATGTTAAAGTCTAGATTTCCTTTATATTCTATGCGGTTTAAAGAGTGGAATATATCAAAATTGACAAAAAATGACTTAATTGTGAGAACTAATATTTAACCAGACATGTTTTGTCATAGTGGCTGTAACACCTTATGCTTGTTTGCACACAAGACTGTCTTGGCCTGTTTCGACTATTCAGGCATCTCCTTTTTGTTCAGACCTATAGAGACTTTTAGATAAACCTGCGAGAATGTGCTTTTACAAATTAAATTTTTTAAAGAAACTCTTTGTTATTCTGGAGTAAATGTATTTATTTACCAGTATGTGCAACGACTGATTTTTGTACTTTCACATAATTTACCCTGTGTATGTCATAGAGGTCCCAGTGTTTGTGAATACAGAACACTGTGCAGAAATATTAAACTTAATTTGTTTGAAACAACTATGTCTTTCCCTACTCAAGGTCAGAAACCCCTTGATAAATTACCTACACTGAGTATGGAGGTTATTTAACACAAGGAGTTTCCAGTGCCATTTAAACTGTATTTTTACCTTGAATGCCAACAGGAATGCCTTAAGATGTTATGCTATCAGTCCGGATTTTACCAGATCTGTAGTCATTTTTGGTCTGTAAGTTTTTCTTAAACTGTGAGCTCAAAGTCTTGAAGTGAGTACATGCTGTAGAAATACTCCTCTCTCCCATTTCCATGAAGAGGACAGCGAGATTCCTCATGAAACGCTGGCCGAGCAGAGGCCACTTGTTTGCCACCTTGGGTGTCTCTTTCCTGCTGCCTCAGTGCTCTTTGTTGTGAGAGAAACCAACTCTTTCCAGGTCTGGCTGTTCGTAAGAACTGAACTTTTGGCCTGCTCATTTCTATCACTTTGTGATTTTGGAATAATTCTGGAAAATGGTCAGAAAAACCTAGGATGCAGTTCAGTTAGGACAAGAGCAAAGAACTCATGCTTAGGCAGGAATGATCAGCTGCCCAGTATCAAAAATCCCCAAGCTTCAAACATGTCCAAAGCTGCTGGCAAGCAGAAGAAAAGCATCTGTCCTCCATGTCTCTGATAAAACGGATTCAAAACTGCGATCAGGTTAGACATGAGAAAATTTTCTGAATACAAGGCTTGGGAACCTTGGCACAGACTTTTTATCTGGGAAACTTTCAGTGACAGGAGACTTACCATTTCCTCTGTCAGGAACAATATAGCTTTGGGTAATCTTGCACTTTGGCAGGTGTTTGATCACAACAGGTAGTTACCAGCAGAGGAGGAGTGGTCTCTGTGCACTGCCTAAGATCACTGAGAAAAATGAGAGGTTTCTATTTGCTGTCTAGGAATCTGCCCACCCTGAAAACTGGTGAAGCTCCAAAGCTGAGAAAAATCACTTGACTAGACCAACCTTTCCAGCTGTATTTGTGCATGGGATGCTCAGTCTGTCTGATCTGCTGTTGCATTCATTTGCTTTGAAATACGTGTTTGGTATAAAACCATTAAAAACCAGGTAATTTTCTAACTTTTACCTGGGTTCTCTTGTCCAGTGTTTGTGATATATGAAGTCAGAAACAGTATTTTTATTAGGATGTGCAAGTAAATATCATTTAAATAGAAGATTATTGCAGTAAATTGTTCTGAGGCCTCAAAGTTAAGCATAGTTTTCTTAGTCAGATGGAAAATTAAAAAATCCAGCATATGGACACTAATTGCTAATGCAAAGAGTTAGGTCAAACTTTTTACATGTTTATCTGTTTTTCACATACTATTTGTTAACTAATGCTCTTCAGAGTATTTTTGGGACCAGCAGTGATCTTACTCTGTACTTTTTTTCTGATCCCACGGAATGCCTGAAATGATCTGTAACCATTATCAAATATCGAAGAAGAACTAAGCCCTTTTAGGGTTTTAACATCTAGTTTTATTAGAATGTTTAGTTTTGGCAACACATATGCTGTTTCTTTTAGCTTTAACAAAAGTATAGCCATTTAATTTGCCAGGTGGGAAACATCATAAGTAAAGGAGCTTTTAATAAGCCTGACTGCTTCCACTCGGTGTCCATCTGAGCCTCTATAACTTTTTTCTGAATTCCCAGGTTTGCTGATGTTCTGACCCATGATTTTGATTTACTTATTTAATGGAATTTCTTTGAGAATCCTGATTTTGTTCAGATAAGCTCTACTTCAAATTATGAATGTTTTCTCTTAGAAGTGAACAATTACTAATTATGAAAGCTGGGCACACACAAGTGATGGTCCTTTTCTAAAATGCTCACCTAAGCAGAAATTTCCATTTCAGAGGGGGAAAAGCTGAAGCAAAGGGATAAAAGGAAATGTTATCTAAACAGGAAGAACCCCAGTTTGCAGCCTGCTGTTAAGCCGCTGCACAAGGCAGCACTTACTGGTAGCAGGGGAGGGGCTGCCAAGGCCATCAAGACCTCAGAGCTGAGCTCTTGAGACTCTCTGACACCACAGAGCCTACCTGTATTAGTATTATTCTCTCCTGTTGGTGCTGCAAAGAAATACAAAAGCATTAGCTCTGTCACAGGTGTTAAAAGTGAGTCCTAGCAACTGGTCTCTGTGTTAGTAAAGGAAAACTCATTGGTTTTTCATTTTGTTTTGCTTTTTTTCACTAATGCTGTGAGAGAATTATTTCTTGACTCTCACTCCAGAGCAGTTTGTGCTTGGTGTGTCTGTGGGGACCATGTTACCTGTGCTAAGGGGCTGGAAAAGAAATTCTGGACTTCTGCTTGTCCACCAAAAATGACCTTTCAGTAAGGACTGTGGGAGGGTAGAAGACAGCAAGGTCGAAACCCAGACAGGAGTTAGGAATTAAAATTTTATAACTAATTAGGAAGCTTAGTATGTAACACACAAATGAATTGCTCATACAAGGAGAATGTAACTCCCAATGCCAAGTGGAACAGCTCCAAAGGACGTACTGATCGATTCCAGCCCCAGTTGTCAGTCCTTGCTCCACACCCAGCATGAGGATCTACAAATGCCTCCCACTGCTGCAGTGAGGGTCCTCACTAATTACAGCCAGCTGCCTTCATTAGGCAATAACAATTGTGTGGGTCTTCTCTTGAGGAATACACCTGGTGCAGGTAGTTTGGTGTGTGAGGCCTGACCGGGCGCTGACCCTTTGCCTAAGGAAGGGCAAGCCAGACCTGCAGCACTGGTCACCTGGGTGGTGGCTCATCACCCAGAAACACTGTAGAGCCCAACGAAAGTGAGAAGACCCCAGACCAAATATCACCACTGGACCAAGAGGCACGTTTAAGGGGCGTGAAGGGCATGTGAGGAGAGCAGGTGCACAGACTGTAAGGGTACAAAAGCCAGGGAATTCCAGAGGCACCCAGCTTGAGCAGTTCTTATGTCCCTGCACCACAATTAAATTACTTAAAGGAACCAGACAGTCTGCTGTGGGAAAACCAGGGTCGAGCTGGTGAGGGAAACTTGTCTGTGTGTGTAGGGAGTAAAACAGGGCACCTGCTGGTTCACTGGAACCACCCACTGCAAGGGGGCTTCCGTTTCAGCAGTTAAAGTCTTGGGTGGCAGGAGTGTGACTGCCAGAGTGGCTCCAGAACAGCAGATGGGAAAGTTTCCTAAACAGTTTGGCAATCCAGATGGCACCCTAGGCCACCACCTTCAAAGTCTCCCTTCTCCAAACATCCAGCTGCTGGCACTGCGTGAGTTCACCCGAGAGCTGTGGAGCAGGGAGGAGCCAAAGGGTGAGCGTTAAAATCCCCTGTGCAGATTTAGTTTAAATTATGATTGTGGGTTTGACTCCGACCTGTGCTGAAGCATTTTGCTCAAGATTTTGAAAATCCCTCCAAGGTGCCTGAGTTTTGAGTCCCTCGTAAGGTGTAGGGGGTTAGAGTCCCTTATAAGGCATGTGTAGGAGGGGAATTCAAGTCCCTTTTTTTCATGTAAAATGGGGGTTTAAGTCCCTCTCAGTGCCTGAAACAATGGGAAATAGACCCAGCACTGCAAAAGGGACACCCTTGGCTGAGGTTTTGCAAAATTGGCAGAAAATGTCTGGTACAGCAGAGTTATCCAAAGAACATGCAATAGCGCTGTGCCAAGAGGATTGGGCAGCTCTAACCTGGAGTGGCAGCTTGGCAGAATGGTAGCCATCACCAGGAGCTTCTGATCAACACAAATTCACTTTCCTGCAGTGATATCTGGTAGATGGAGTCCCCAGATTACGTGGACTGTTGGTATGTTTGGAACGATTGCACCTGGCATGTTGGGACAACGTCAGGGAGGGTGCTCTGTGGGCCAGACCTGTAACTGGGGGATACAGACTGGCCCTGAGGGCTGGGTTGGTTGGGCTGGGGTGTGAAGCAGGGCTGGGTGCTGGCTCTGGATGCAGCACAGGCCCTTCCCATGGGTTGACCCAGCTGCTGTGAGTGGCACTGCCGTGCACCCCTACCCACCCCACCCCTGTCAGTGCACACCCAGTGCCGGGGGCTGGATGTGTGCAGTTCTGTGGGGGTGGCCCTGGGCTGGCACCCTCCTCAGCTGGTGCCCAGGAGCCAGCCTGGAGCTGGTGCAGACCAGAGGAATCCAGCTGTTACGTTAAAGCAAAGTGTCAGGAAGGCCCGTGGTGGGTGCAGGTGCAATGGGATGCCTGCCCACGGGAATTGGTTTATGTCTTGGGGAGCATTGTGGTTCTGGTGATGCCCAGTGAGCACTTGCCAGCCTGTGACAATCCAGGGAAAGGGTGTCAGTCTCACACTCGGCTGCACCTGTACCCACAGCAGGTCTCCTACCATTTCCTTGAGAATATTGGGGCATGATTTAAGGGCTTGGCTGAAGACAGAGGTGAGGCTGACAGGTATCTTCCACTTGACCAGAGTGTTCAAAGCCCCAGCCAACCTGCCCTTGAATATTTACAGGATGGGGCATCCACACCTTCTCTGGGTCACCTGCTACAGTGCTTCCCCAGCCTCATGACCAGAGGCAGTTGCCTCAGCCTGCCATGAGCTCTGACTCCTCACCATCTCCTCACCAGGACTGGGCCCATACCACATGCACTGGAGTCCTTCCTGGGCTGGGGAGACCAGAAGGGGACAGAGGAATCCATAGGCAGTCACCAAAGTCCCAACCAAGAGAAGAAGAAAGCATTTTTACTGTTATTTTCTTGGTTTATTGGTTTGGGGTTTTTTAATTTGTTTATTTCCCAACTTGAAAAGAACTCCTTGTGAAGCAGCTAAAAGGGCCCTTCATGCTGAAGGCCAGCACTTCTTCCTGGCAGAACTCCCGCCTGCTGCTTCTCCAAAGG